CAAAATATGAACTAAACGAGATTTTGGCTCTAGTTTAGGTCCACGCCCAGACCTTCACGCCCTAATTGGTCCTTGACTTCAGAGACACCACCTGCTGGGGAACTACAAATTAGGCTGTCAGGCCTAAGAAGAAAAAGTTGAAGACGTCTCCCATTTTAACATCAATACCACCTGTGGAGACCCGTGCCCTTTTGCTCTGAAACTTGGATCTGCTAACCCAGGACTTTCGCAAGTACCTTAACCCTTTCACCTATCTCTGATATCTCTTTGCTGTGCTGTTAGTCTCTGTATATTTATATGTATATATCTTAGTTGCATCTTTTTCTGTAAATATTTTTATTGCACCCATTTGACCTTTTAGTAATAAATCTTTTCTTCTGAAAGTGTTGAACTGTTTCTATAGCGTTAAGCACTCACCTCACTGACAACAACCTGCTTGATCCACTACAGTCTGGCTTCCATCCCCTACACTCCACTGAAACCGCCCTACTCAAAATCACTAATGACCCGCTAACCGCCAAAGCTAATGGCCACTACTCAGTCCTCCTACTCCTCGACCTCTCCGCGGCCTTCGACACAGTCGACCACCCCCTCCTCCTTAATAAACTACACTCCCTTGGCATCAGAGACTCTGCTCTCTCCTGGCTCTCCTCCTATCTATCCCAATGCTCCTTCAGCGTTACCTATAACACTACCACCTCCCCCTCTCTGTCGGGTCCCCCAAGGCTCTGTCCTTGGGCCCCTTCTTTTCTCCATCTACACCTCCTCCCTCGGCAAATCAATACACTCCCACAGCTTCAACTATCTCCTCTACGCCGACCACACGAATATTTACCTCCCCCTCCCCCTCACACCTCACCCCTTCAGTCTCCGCCCATATCACCCACCTCCTGAACGACATATCAGACTGGATGTCGCTCCATTTCCTCAAATTGAACCTTTCCAAAACTGAGCTCCTAGTTTTCCCTCCAGCCCGCGCCCCCTTCCTCTCCATCACGACCAACAATGCCACCATCAATCCCACCCCGCAAGCCAAAGTCCTAGGTGTCACCCTGGACTCAAACCTGTCCTTCCAACCTCATGTCCAATCGCTGGCAACTTCATGCAGGTTCCACCTCCGCAACATCTCCAAGATACGTACGTTCCTAACCCGAGACACTACTAAACAACTCGTTCACTCCCTTATTATCCCACGTCTGGACTACTGCAACTCCCTCCTCAACGGCCTACCCCAACACAGGCTATCCCCGCATCAGTCCATCCTGTACTCAGCAGCCAGACTAATCCACCTTACCAACCGCTCCACTTCTGCCCAGGGGCGGACTGACAATTCATGGGGCCCCCGGGCAATAGGGAATCACGGGGCCCCTGTGTACTTGCCCACACTCAAAGCACACCCAAAAAAGATTATAAAAAAGGTACCAGGGGCATTTCATGGGGCCCCCTACTGACCCTGGGCCCTCGGGCAGGGCCCGAGTGCTCAAATGGTCAGTCCGCCCCTGCTTCTGCCACCTCCTTCTGCCATTCCCTCCACTGGCTTCCGATTGCCCAACGCATTAAATTCAAACTAACACTGACATACAAAGCCATTCATAACACTGCCCCAAACTACCTCACCAACCTGATACCCAAATACCACCCTACCCGTAATCTTCGCTCCTCTCAAGACCTCCTACTTTCTAGCTCCCTGGTCTCCTCCCCCCACACCCGACTGCAGGACTTCTCCAGGACTTCCCCCATCCTCTGGAACTCACTACCCCAATCCATCAGACTGTCACCTACCCTCCTCACCTTTAGGCGCACCCTGAAAACCCATCTCTTCAGGGAAGCCTACCCCACCCTCACCTAACAGCCGATCTCCTCCACTCCTCCTACCACTCCATCCCCCACAGCCACTTCCTCCTGTACCTCTACCCCCTCCCTCCTAGATTGTAAGCTCCAAGGAGCAGGGCCCTCGAACCCCTTGTGTATTGTTTTGTTACTGTATTGTCTCATGTTCTGTCCCCCACTATAATGTACAGCGCTGAGCAAACCTTTTTACGCTATATAAACACTGTATAATAATAATTTCTGCCCCCCTCCAAAACTCACCCCCTCCAGCTGAAGCCATCCAGAGTTTACAGAGCATGGCGGGGGGAGGCAGAAATCTTTTTTCCTCCCTCTGCATACAAGGAATGTAGAGATATCGGTAAGGATTGCTGGTGGGGAGACGTGGGTTGTTTCAGGACCCCGGAGAGTAGTGTCAGCATGAAAGCAAACTCCTCTAGGCAGTGCGGGCAGAGCACACAGTCGCAGCTTGCCCCATGTGTCTGCTGTTTGGACGTAGCTGCAGGAGCCACCCGCAGCGCTTCACTGTCTGTGACCTGCTTTGATTTTTGGGATGCTGCCCGGGACAAGGACCCCTCGGGACAGCATTCAAAAATCTGCGAGTGAACTGGGCAATTCATGAGAGTTGGCAACTATGCAGGTCTATGGAGACAACCCCTCCCAATCCCGCCTCATAGCACAAATCCCCCCTCTTAGCACAACCCCTCCCAATCCCACCTCTTGACACAAATTCCCCCCTCCTAGCACAAATTCCCTCCCAATCCCCCTTCCTACCACAAATCTCCCCTCCTAGCACAAATTCCCACCAATCCTCTCTTCCAGCACAAATTCCCACCAATCCCCCCCCCTCCCAGCACAAATTCCCACCAATCCCCTCTCCCCATCACAAATTCCCACCAATCCCCTCTCCCAGCACAAACTCCCCCCCCCCCCCCAAAAAAAAAAAAATCACCCCTCCTAGCACAACCTCCCTTCAATCCTCCCTCCAAGCACAAATCCCCCCCAATCACCCTTATTAGCACAAATCCCCACCACCACCAAGAAAAAAATAATTCCCCTGTAGTTCTACTTCACCCCTCCTAGCACACATGCTCTTTACCCTCAAATGTTTCACCCTAGAACAAATCCTCTCCCCCATTCCCCCCTCCTAGCACAAATCCCCCCCCCCCAAATCACAATTCATATTGCAACTTCCCCCAAATCCCCCCTCCTAGCACAACCCCTCCCAATCCCCCCTCCTAGTACAACTCCTCCCAATCCCCCCCTCCTAACACAAACCCCCCTCCTAGCACAACCCTTCCTAGTCCCCTCTCCTAACACAACTCCTCCCAATCCCCCCTCCTAGTGCAACTCTTCCCAATCCCCCCTCCTAACACAAATCACCCCTCATAGCACAACCATCCCCCAAGTCCCCCCTCCTAACACAAATCCCCCCTCCTAGCACAACCCCTCCCAATCCCCTCTCCTAGCACAACCCCTCCCAATCCCCCCTCCTAGTACAACTCTTCCCAATCCCCCCTCCTAACACAAATTACCCCTCGTAGCACAACCTCCCCCCAATTCCCCCCTCCTAACACAAATCCCCCCTCCTAGTACAACCCCTCCCAATCCCCTCTCCTAGCACAACCCCTCCCAATCCCCCCTCCTAGCACAACTCTTCCCAATCCCCCCTCCTAACACAAATCACCCCTCATAGCACAACCTCCCCCCAATTCCCCCCTCCTATCACAAATCTCCCCTCCAAATAAAAGATGGATGAAAGATTTGGCACTGGGAAACACTTTTTGATAAATTGTACATTTTATATACAACTACAGAGATCAGACCAGAATGAGGGACAAATGAGGAGGACAGAGGAGCAGGGAGACAGAGGAGGAGGGAGACGGAGGGGCAGGGGGACAGAAGGACAGAGAGACAGGGAGACAGAGGGGCAGGGGGACAGAAGGACAGAGAGACAGAGGGGCAGGGGGACAGAAGGACAGGGAGACAGAGGGGCAGGGGGACAGAAGGACAGAGACTGGGATAGAGAGACAGGGGGACAGAGAAAAGGGGACAGAGGAGGACGGAAGGACAGAGAGATGGAGGGCCAGGGGGACAGTAGGGCAGAAGGACAGAGGGGCAGAGGGACAGGGGAAAAGTGGGGCAGGAGGACAGAGGAACAGGGGGACAGAGGGGCAGGGGGACAGAGGGTAGAAGGACGGAAGAACAGAGGGACGGAAGGACAGAGAGATGGAGGGGGACAGTAGGGCAAAGGGACAGAGGGGCAGGGGGAGAGAGGGGGAGAGGGGCAGGGGGACAGAGGGGCAGAGGGGCAAGAGGGGGCAGGGGGACAGAGGGGGCAGGGGGACAGAGGGGCAAGAGGGGGCAGGGGGACAGGAGGGGGCAGGGGGACAGAGGGGCAGGACGACAGAGGAATAGAGGTGCAGGAGGGCAGGGGGACAGAGGGGCAGGGGGACAGAGGGGGCAGGGGGACAGAGGGGAAGGGGCAGGGTAACAGAGGGGAAGGGGGACAGAGGGGGCAGGAGGACAGGGGACAGGGAGGCAGGGACAGAGGGGACAGAGGGGGCAGGGGGACAGAGTGGCAGGGGGACAGAGGGGGCAGGGGAATAGAGGAGGCAGGGGGACAAAGGGGCAGGGACAGAGGGGCAGGAGGACAGAGGGACAAAGGGGCAGGAGGACAGGGGAATAGAGGGGCAGGGGGACAGAGGAATAGAGGGGCAGGAGGACAGGGGAATAGAGGGGCAGGGGGACAGAGGGGCAGAGGGACAGAGGGGCAGGGGGCAGAGTGTCAGGAGGGCAGAGGGCAAACGAGGACAGAAGGACTTGTTCGGAATCAGTGACAGTTGGGTGGTATGAAGCATATGTGGTTCGTTTTGCCGCGACTGCGGTGCGACTCGGGATTATGGGCTGAGGGTGATGATTCCTGCCTGCGCTTAAAAATCGTGAATGGGTTTTGTTCATTTTATGTGTAGACCCAAAACAATTCGTCTTCTCCCGATGGAAGGTCAGAAGGTCGGACACCCCCGGATCCAGGCAGCTGGAATTCAAATGCAGCCAAAAACCGCATCCCAGCTCTGCGCCCTGTAGGACTTGATTCCAGTTGCAGTTCCCCCTCCAGCTTCTAAGCGTCGCTGTCCGCTCTTCGTCTTGTTTTAGACGGCGAGCCGTCCGGTCCTCTGTCCACGCATGCGCCTCGCCGTCTCATCCGCGGCGACGTGCGGAGCTGTGTTGAGTGTTGCTTCGGCGGGGAGAGAGAAAATGGCGGGAAGTATGAAAGACAACCTGGCCGGGGAGCCCGGAGGAGAGGTGAGGGAACGCTGTGTGTGATGGCGGGAAAACCATGACAGGAAATGTTCCCGGATGAGGATGATGTGTGACAGGAATTCTATGACAGTATGGCATGTCCGTGTTCTGGTAACGTGGATGGCGGGCTGGGATTTGTAATTCTTTTTGTTTACATCTGCTGGTTGGTTTGTTTGCTAGAACATTAGAACCCCCGAACATGTAACGCCCCGGAGAATACAATGGTGGGTTCCTTTCATTTTTTTTAACCACTTACCTACCGGTACCGACAGGGGCGTCCCTGGGGTTGGTGTCACCCGGTGCGGTAACACTAGGTGACACCCCTCCAATGATCCCCGCATAATGGATCGGATCTGCGGATTGAGCAGAATGGATGGGACTCCATTCGGTGTTAATGAGGCGGCACTGATGGTGGGCGGCACGGATGTTGGGCGGCACGGATGGTAGGCGGCACGGATGTTGGGCACTGATGGTAGGCGGCACTGATGGTAGGCGGGACGGATGTTGGGCACGGATGGTAGGCGGCACGGATGTTGGGCACGGATGGTAGGCGGCACGGATGTTGGGCACGGATGGTAGGCGGCACGGATGTTGGGCACTGATGGTGGGTGGCACTGATGGTGGACGGCACGGATGTTGGGCACTGATGGTGGACAGCACGGATGTTGGGCACTGATGGTGGACGGCACGGATGTTGGGCACTGATGGTGGGCGGCACGGATGTTGGGCACTGATGGTGGGTGGCACTGATGGTGGACGGCACGGATGTTGGGCACTGATGGTGGGTGGCACTGATGGTGGACGGCACGATGTTGGGCACTGATGGTGGGTGGCACTGATGGTGGACGGCACGGATGTTGGGCACTGATGGTGGACGGCACGGATGTTGGGCACTGATGGTGGGCGGCACGGATGTTGGGCACTGATGGTGGGCGGCACGGATGTTGGGCACTGATGGTAGGCGGCACGGATGTTGGGCACTGATGGTAGGCGGCACTGATGGTAGGCGGCACGGATGTTGGGCACTGATGGTAGGCGGCACGGATGTTGGGCACTGATGGTAGGCGGCACGGATGTTGGGGGGCGGCACAGATGTTGGGCACTGATGGTGGGCGGCACGGATGTTGGGCACTGATGGTAGGCGGCACGGAGGTTGGGCACTGATGGTAGGCGGGCACGGATGTTGGGCACTGATGGTAGGCGGCACGGATGTTGGGCACTGATGGTAGGCGGCACGGATGTTGGGCGGCCACGGATGTTGGGCGGCACGGATGTTGGGCACTGATAGGCAGCGGCGCTGATGTGCACTGCTGATCAGTGCCGATCCCTCCTCTGACAATTGCCGGATATCAGCAGTTCTCCTCCTGCTGGGACAGTGCGAGGAAAGTGCAGCCGATAACCAGCAGCTGTATTTCCCGGTCATCTGTGTCATCGCTGCAACCTCGTCTTTTATATTTTACCAATCGGGTCATTTATTGCTTTTTTTTTTTGTGCCCTTAAATAACTTCAGTATTTATTACTGAAATTTTGCGGTAGTATGTGACATAAAACATTGAAACTACCACTATTCTATTCTCTGGGGTCTCGGCTTTCAGAAAATCTCATGTTTGGGGGTTTTGTGTCATCTTTAAGCCTAAAATTAAAATTAAAAAATTAAAGATTTTTTTAAAACTTGTACAAAAAACGCAAAAACGGCTCTGACAGCAAAAGGGATAAAGGATCAGCTGGACACACCCCTTTCCTGAGGAGCAGCCAATCGGTGCTTTGCACTGCGAGGTCTCTCCCCTCCCGTCTAATCCCAGGGACGGGGCTGGAGACAGGCATGGTGGGGAGGAGGAGATAAACAGCGCAATGTTAAAAATATAAAATGTTTTATGCAGGCCACACATGGTTTGAATTCCGAACGATTTTTCATCCGGAAATCGAAAACGTCCTTCGCTCGGTAATCTGATGGCGCCATCAATGATTTTGAAAATTGGCCGACCAAGCCATAAAGTTCACCCCATGGTCCTCCCCCATCCTCTGGAACTCACTACCCCAATCCATCAGACTGTCACCTTCCCTCCTCACCTTCAGGCGCTCCCTGAAAACCCACCTCTTCAGGGAAGCCTACCCCACCCTCACCTAACTGCTGCTCTCCTTCATTCCCTCTGCCACTCCATCCCCCACAGCCACTTCCTCCTGTACCACTACCCCCTCCCTCCTAGATTGTAAGCTCGAAAGAGTAGGGCCCTCTAACCCCTCGTGTGCTGTTTGTAGTTGCTGTAATGTTTCATGTACTATCCCCCCCTCTATTGTACAGCGCTGAGCAAACCCTTTGGCGCTATATAAACTCAATGTAATGATAATAATATAACAGGTGAAACTTCTGTTCCTTCCAGGTCACGGCTCATGCGCATATTTCTTTTCGGAAAACGAATCGATCGTACGATTAGACCATCATTGAGTCTAAAATCGATTGTTTTTCACGTATTTTCCAACATGCCCGATCACCGAAAAATGGGAGGAACCACGAAAATCGGCCGTGCCATTGACCCAACTAACAGAGCGAAAATCGCCCGATTATTCTTAGGTCCAATTTTCGGACAAAAAAATCGGTCGAATTTTTGACCCATGTATGGCCGGCATAAGTCACCATAAAGCCCTTTTGATTTTAAAAGCCCGGACGTTCTAAAAGCACCTCCAGATTTAAATACGGTTTTGGTTTAAAAAAATTTTTTTTTATATCTGGACAAATAGATTGGAAGCCCGCTTTAGTCCCTGGACTAGTAGGTTTTTTTTTTTTTAAATTACACACCCCTGTTTATAGCACAAACCAAAAACCGCAGAAGTGATCAATACCCACCGAAAGAGTGCAATTTGTGGGGGAAAAAAAGACAAATTTTATTTATGTACAACGTTGCATGGCTGCGCAATTGTGAGTCAAGGTAATGCAGCGCCGTACAGCAATTAATGGCCTGGTCATGAAGGCGGTCCACAAGTGGTTTACATTTTCGCAGGATGAGTCTTTTGCAACACAGCAAACTGGTCCCGGCACAGACGGCAGTGAAACATGATGTAGTGGCTCACCTAGATGTGATTGGTTAGAGAGAAATATGTGCATCTAAAGAACCAATTCTAAGTGTTCTGATTTTCTATCTTAGGCACACAACCCGTGTGGGGGTGTGAGGACATCGGGGACCAAGTCCTGGCTTGTAGCCGGCGTGTTTCTCTGGAGGAATTATGGACCGCCAAAATAAATGGTAAGTCGCCATGCTAATTGGCAGTTCTGTTTTCCTGCAGAGGTTAATGAAACAACCTGTTACATACATTCCTGGTGGCTTCTGCACCGGGGGGGGGGATTGTGTGTAAATCTGACAGGTGGACTCCTTTCTGTCAGATGGAGCATTTGGGGAGGCTGCGCCCAATTGCTTCCACACAACATGGCAGGTGGTGCCGCTGGTAAAGGGGAGAGAGGACACATGTCCGCTCTTCTTCCTTCCTTGTTTCTGACCGGAAATGTGTGACAACAGGTGGGGTGTACTTGGACGGAGGGGGCTGGGGTGTACTTGGACGGAGGGGCGGGCTGGCTGTACTTGGGACGGAGGGGCGGCTGGGCTGCACTTGGGACGGAGGGGCGGTGGGCTGCACTTGGGACGGAGGGGCGGCTGGGCTGCACTTGGGACGGCTTAGGGCGGCTGGCTGCACTTGGGACGGAGGGGCGGCTGGGCTGCACTTGGGACGGAGGGCGCGGCTGGGCTGCACTTGGGACGGGAGGGCGGCTGGGCTGCACTTGGGACGGAGGGGCGGCTGGGCTGCACTTGGGACGGAGGGGCGGCTGGGCTGCACTTGGGACGGAGCAGGGCGGCTGGGCTGCACTTGGGACGGAGGGGCGGCTGGGCTGCACTTGGGACGGAGGGGCGGCTGGGCTGCACTTGGGACGGAGAGGGCGCACTTGGGACGGAGGGCTGCACTTGGGACGGAGGGGCGGCTGGGCTGCACTTGGGACGGAGGGGCGGCTGGGGCTGCACTTGGGACGGAGGGGGGGCTGGGCTGCACTTGGACGGAGGGGCGGCTGGGCTGCACTTGGACGGAGGGGCGGCTGGGCTGCACTTGGGACTTGAGAGGGGCGGCTGGGCTGCACTTGGGACGGAGGGGCGGCTGGGCTGCACTTGGACGGAGGGCGGCTCTGGGCAGCACTTTGGTGACGAGGGGGCGGCTGGGCTGCACTTGGACGGAGGGCGGCGGGCAGGGCTGCAACTTGGGACGGAGGGGCGGCTGGGCTGCACTTGGGACGGAGGGGCGGCTGGGGCTGCACTTGGGACGGAGGGGCGGCGGGGCTGCACTTGGGACGGTAGGGGCGGCGGGGCTGCACTTGGGACGGGGGCGGCCGCGGGGGCTGGGCTGCACTTGGGACGGAGGGGGCGGCGGGGCTGCACTTGGACGGAGGGGCGGCGGGGCTGCACTTGGGACGGAGGCGCGGCGGGGGCTGCACTTGGGACGGAGGGGCGGCGGGGGACTGCACTTGGGACGGGCAGGGGCGGCGGGGCTGCACTTGGGACGGAGGGGCGCGCGGGGACTGCACTTGGGACGGAAGGGGCGGCTGCACTTGGACGGGGGGCGGCGGGCTGCACTTGGGACGGAGGGGCGGCGGGGGCTGCACTTGGGACGGAGGGGCGGCGGGGGCTGCACTTGGGGACGGAGGGGCCGGCGGGGCTGCACTTGGGACGGAGGGAAAGCGGCGGGGCTGCACTTGGGAACGGAGGGGCGGCCGGGGCTGGCCACTTGGGACGGAGGGGCGGCGGGGCTGCACTTGGGACGCAGGGGGCGGCGGGCCTGCACTTGGGATGCAGTGAAGCAGGGGCGGCGGGGCTGCACTTGGGACGCAGGGGCGGTCGGGGTCTGCACATGGGACGCAGGGGCGGCGGGGCTGCCACTGGGACGCAAGGCTTTTTTTGGGCTGCACTTGGGACGCAGGGGCGGCGGGGCTGCACTTGGGACGCAGGGGCGGCGGCGGGGCTTGCACTTGGGACGCAGGGGCGGCGGGGGCTGCACTTGGATTTTGTAAAAGCGTTTTTGACACAGTTGCCCACACACAGCTGTTAAAGGTGAAGTCTACAGGCTGGGAAAAATCAGTTTGTAAATGGATAGATAACTGGCTAAAACGCCCAAATTCAGAGTATTGGTTAATGATTCACATTCTGAATCGTCCATAATAATGGGAATAGGAATTTCTCTATGGGAGGGTTTGCAGGACAGGAAGTGAAAATAAATCCATTTATTATATTGTTACCACATTAAATATTATTTGATCACAAGTAAAAATCTCTGGTGCCCACGAGAGGACATTCACCTTCATTTCACTGATAGTGCCGACAAGACGCAGAGAAGTGCGGGGCACATAAAAGTATTCTTAGCTACTGAAATCTAATTGTCAATTTTTGCTACTAAACCCCCAAATGCAGATGTTTTGCCACTAAATGAAATGTTTTGTTCTACAGAACACAAGCTTCTAGTTAAAAAAATGTCAATTTGTTTATTATAATACGGAACAACTCACTGATTTGTGCTGATCTACTGGGAGCTGCAGACTGAAAATTATTTAAGGGGTTCCCTGAAATTTAGAAGAAAAAATTGGCTTTATGGTAAAAGGTTGACAAAACTTCCCTACCCCAAAGACGTGTGTCCGGCATCCACCTAAAGGACGTGTTCCGGCACCCCCTACAGGGCTTTGTCCGGCACCACCGAGAAGGTGTTTGTTCGGTACCCCCTACAGGGTGTTTGTCCGGCCATCCTTTTCCAAGGCGGTTGTTTGGCCCTACCCATCGTTGCATTTGTTGGGGCACCCCCTACAGTGCGTTTGTCCCGGCACCCGCTACAGGGTGTGTGTCTGGCACCCCCCTACAGGGCGTTTGTCCAGCACATGGCGTTTGTTTGGTACCCCCTACAGGGTGCCTGTCCGGGCACCCCCTACCATTGCATTTGTCCGGTACCCACTTACAGGGCGTTTGTGCGGCACCTGCTACAAGGCGTTTGTCTGGCACCCCCTAAAGGGCGTTGTGTCCGAGACCCGCGATAGTGTGTTTGTCTGGTACCCCCTACAGGGAGTGTTCGTCTGGCAAACCCCTATCAGGCATTTGTCTGGCAATCACCTACAAGGCGTTTGTCCGGCATCCACCTATAGGGAAGTTTGTCAGACCTCCTTCCCGGGGCTTCTTAATTAGAATTCCACAGAAGAGTCTGGTGTTTGGTCACTGCAGGCGGGGTGAGGGGAGGCTCTGTCTGGGTAGGAGGGTGGTAGCTGGGAGATGGTAGAAACACGTCAATGTGAGGAGGAATTTCAGGAGTACAGAGCAAGACCAGACACACCCCAGAAAGCCCTGTGTATGATGTCACTTTCAGGTCAGCCTCTGTGTCCCCAACCAGCATGACCAGGAAATAATGTAATGCAATGCGAATCTGCATTGTACTACATTCAGGGGATTCATTCAGGGGATTCATTCAGGGTTCTATTACACCCGGAGTGTCTCATTAACAATGATTATGTTTTCCCAAAAAAAATCATCACATGGGGAATGTATGTCCCGTATGTGATGTAAAAAAAAAAAGTCTTTAATAGTAACAGATTAGTTGCACCCAAACCACATAAAATAATCCCACCCCCACCCTTTAAAAATAAAAAAGTTTTTTTGAGCCCCCCCCCCCCCCCTTTCGAGTTGATCACGAGCACACCACGTACACATGAAAAACGGTATTTGCAATAACAACATTTACATATCGCCATGCACGTCGCAGACAGAGTAAGATTTGTAGCCACCAGACCTCCTCCGTGACACCACACTGATGAAAAACAGTGTTACTCGTGTCTCTGCCACTACCCCTGTGTACTAATGAGAGAAAAACATAGCTTTGTTGTGTAATGTGTATGTATGATGACAAATGTCGTGAAATACTGAAGTTTGTTTTTTTTCTCTCGGCAGGCCATCGGTGCTAAAACATTGAGGAACGTCTTTCAAAGTACATCTATGACAAGTGTCCTGCGGGAGCTGCACATGGTAGGTCGTTTTTAATTAACGCATTTTCCTGTAGTTGTGACTTTTAATCTCGAGGTTATTCCACCCAAACCGTTGTTTTAGTTTGGGTGGTTAAAGTTGTGTTACTGACCACTTGAAGACCTCCTTACGTACATTTACGTTCGGCCCAGTTTCAATTGGCTCCACGTGGACTGTCCGACAATACCTGACGGGGGGGTTTGTGCTGGGCGGGATCCATCTGTCTGTACTTGGGGGGCTCTTGTGCTAAGGGCACCGTCCGTCTAATACTGAGGGCTCTGTGCTGAGGGCGCCGTCCCGTCTATACTGAGGGCTCTGTGCTGGAGGGCGCCGTCCGTCTATACTGAGGGCTCTGTGCTGAGGGCGCCGTCCGTCTATACTGAGGGATCTGTGCTGCGAGGGCGTCCGTCCGTCACTATACTGAGGGCTCTGTGCTGTGGGCCCGTCCGACTCATACCGAGGGCTCTGTGGCTGAGAGGCGCCGTCCGTCTATACCGAGGGCTCTGTGCTGAGGGCACCGTCCGTCTATACTGAGGGGCTCTGTGCTGAGGGGCGCCGTCCGTCTCTATACTGAGGGCTCTGTTCTGAGGGGCACCGTCCGTCTATTCTGAGGGCTCTGGTGCTGAGGGCGCCGGGTCCCGTCTATACTGAGGGCTCTGTGCTGAGGGCACCATCCGTCTATACTGAGGGCTCTGTGCTGATGGAGGCGCGCCTGTCCGTCTATATACTGAGGGATCTGCGCTGAGGGCGCCGTCCGTCTATACTGAGGGCTCTGCGCTGAGGGCGCCGTCCCGTCTATACTGAGGGCTTTGTTCTGAGGGCGCCGTGCGTCTATACTGAGGGCTCTGTTCTAGGAGGGCGCCGTCCGTCTATACTGAGGGCTCTGTTCTGAGGCACCGGTCCCGTCTATACTGAGGGCTCTGTTCTGAGGGCACCGTCCGTCTATATACTGAGGGCTCTGTTCTGAGGGCACCGTCCGTCTATACTGAGGGCTCTGTTCTGAGGGCACCGTCCTCCGTCTATACTGAGGGCTCTGTTCTGAGGGCACCGTCCGTCTATACTGAGGGCTACATAGACGGAGGGGGGCTGGGGTGTAGTTGGACGGAGGGGCGGGCTGGGGTGTAAGTTGGACGGAGGGGCGGCGGTGCTGTGCTTGGGACGGAAGGGCGGCTGGGCCGTGCTTGGATTTTGTAAAAGCGTTTGACACAGTTCCCCGCACACAGCTGTAAGGTGAAGTCTACAGGCTGGGAAAAATCAGTTTGTAAATGGATAGATAACTGGCTAAAAGCCCAAATTCAGAGGGCGCCGTCCCGTCTATACTGAGGGCTCCGTTCGTCTATACTGAGGGCTCTGGGCTGAGGACACCGTTATTCTATACTGAGGGCTTTTTGCTGAGGGCTCCGTCCGTCTATACTGAGGGATCTGTGCTGAGGGCACTGTTCGTCTATGTCAGGGGTGAGCAACTGTGGCCCTCCAGCTTTTGGTGAACTACACGTCCCATCATGCCTCTTCCTTTTGGACTCATGCTTGTAAATGTCAGTTTTGCAATGTATCATGGGACTTGTAGTTCTACAACAGCTGGAGGGCCACAGTTGCTCTCCCCTGGCCTATACTGAGGGATCTGTGCTGAGGGCACCGTCCGTCTATACTGAGGGCTCTGTGCTGAGGGCGCCGTCCGTCTATACTGAGGGCTCTGTGCTGAGGGCGCCGTCCGTCTATACTGAGGGCTCTGTGCTGAGGCGCAGTCCGTCTATACTGAGGGCTCTGTGCTGGAAGGCGCCGTCCGTCTATACTGAGGGCTCTGTGCTGAGGGCGCCGTCCGTCTATACTGAGGGCTCTGTGCTGAGGGCGCCGTCCGTCTATACTGAGGGCGCCGTCCGTCTATACTGAGGGCTCTGTGCTGAGGGCGCCGTCCGTCTATACTGAGGGGCTCTGTGCTGAGAGCGCCGTCCGTCTATACTGAGGGCTCTGTGCTGAGGGCGCCGTGCGTCTATATAAGGGGTGGTCAACTTTGCCCTCCAGCTTTTGGTGAACTACAAGTCCCATTATGCCTCTTCCTTTGGGACTCATGCTTGTAAATGTCAGTTTGCTGCAATGCCTCATAGGACTTGTAGTTCTGCAACAGCTGGAGGGCCATAGTTGCTCACCCCTGGGTCTATACTGAGGGCTCTGTGCTGAGGGCGCCGTCCGTCTATACTGAGGGCTCTGTGCTGAGGGCACCGTCCGTCTATACTGAGGGCTCTGTGCTGTGGGTGCCGTCCATCTGTGCTGAGGGCGCCGTGCGTCTATACTGATGGCTCTGTGCTGTGGGTGCCGTGCGTCTATACTGAGGGCACCGTGCGTCTATACTGAGGGCTCTGTGCTGAAGCGCCGTCCGTCTATACTGAGGGCTCAGGTGGGAGGCATCTATCTTTACTGCGGGCTTTGTGCCGGGGGCAATGTCTGTCTTTACCAAGGGTAAATGGGGGGGGTCTGTCCTTATGGACTTTGTGCTTATGTATGTTACGGTTTTATCTGTAATGTTGGAGATCAGGCTTTGGGGGGCGACTGACTGAACTTGTGCTGTGAGGAGGGGTGATTATGTTCATACTCTGTAAGGTGGTCTGTGTGTTGCTCACTCCGGACCCCTGAACTACAGACGGGATATTCATCAGAAGTGAACCAGACAGAAATTCTCATTTTCAAAGCTTTTAGTTTAAATCAGTGAATTTGCCCTCTGGGTCAGCTTCTCGGACCCCCTCCACCAGGCAGGAAAGTACAGGATACAAAGTATTTTTATCTTCTGCAATCTAATGTCATTTTTGCCACCAAACCCCTAATGCAGATGCTTTTGCCGTGAAATGTTTGTGCAGCAAAACAAAGCTTCACGTTAAAAAGATGAATTTTATTTATTCTAATACCGAACTCTCGCTGATTGTGCTAATATTCTGGGAGCTGTAGACTGAAATGTATTTTAGGGGTTCCCTGAAATTTTAAAATTTCTTGTCTGTTAAATGGTTGAGACAAGCCGCCCTACAGTTTTCGGGCCCCATGCAGGACAGTTTGTCTGATCGCTCCCCTTTTACAGGGTGTTTTCCGACCCTCTCCAGGGTGTTTTGTACTGTGTGATGTAAAGTCTACAGGCTTTGTAAAGGATAGAAAACTGGCTAAAAGCCCAAATTCAGAGAATATTAGTTAATGATTCACACTCTGAATCGTCCATAATAATGGGAATAGGATTTCTCTATGGGAGGGTTTGCAGGACAGGAAGTGAAAATAAATCCATTTATTATTTATTACAACATTAAATATTATTTATCACAAGTAAAATCTCTGGTGCCAGAGAGGACATTTCCCTTCATTCACTGATAGTGCCGACAAGACGCAGAGAAGTGCGGGGCACATAAAAGTATTCTTAGCTACTGAAATCTAATTTGTCATTTCTGCTACTAAACCCCAATGCAGATGTTTTGCCACCAAATGAAATGTTTGTTCTACAAAACAAAGCTTCTAGTTACCAATGTGAGTTTGTTTATTATAATACGGAACACTCACTGATTTGTGCTGATCTACTGGGAGCTGCAGACTGAAAATTATTTAAGGGGTTTCCTGAAATTTTGGGGAAAAAAATTTGCTTCATGGTTAATACCGAAAGTTGAGAAACTTCTCTACAGGGCATTTTGACCCGACCCCCCCCCCCCCCCCCCCTACACTGGGCGTTTGTCCAACCCCTTCAGGCCGTTTGTCCGAACCCCCCCTTCAGGCCGTTTGTCCGACCCCCTTCACTGGGCTGCTGTCGGACCCCCTTCACTGGGCTGCTGTCGGACCCCTTCACTGGGCTGCTGTCGGACCCCCTTCACTGGGCTGCTGTCGGACCCCCTTCACTGGGCTGCTGTCGGACCCCCTTCACAGGGCAGTTTGTCGGACCCCCTTCCCTGGGCTGCTGTCGGACCCCCTTCACTGAGCTGCTGTCGGACCCCCTTCACAGGGCAGTTTGTCGGACCCCCCTTCGCAGGGCTTTTTAATCAGAATTCCAGGACCGCAAATGAAGGAAAATATAATCCATTATTTGTTACAACTTTAAATATTGTTATTTATCACAAGTAAAATCTATGGCACCAGAGAGGACATTCACCTTATGGCACCAGAGAGGACATTCACCTTATGGCACCAGAGAGGACATTCACCTTATGGCACCAGAGAGGACATTCACCTTATGGCACCAGAGAGGACATTCACCTTATGGCACCAGAGAGGACATTCACCTTATGGCACCAGAGAGGACATTCACCTTATGGCACCAGAGAGGACATTCACCTTATGGCACCAGAGAGGACATTCACCTTATGGCACCAGAGAGGACATTCACCTTATGGCACCAGAGAGGACATTCACCTTATGGCACCAGAGAGGACATTCACCTTATGGCACCAGAGAGGGACCTTCACTCATTGGTAGTGCCGACAAACCACAGGGAAGTACAGATTCATAGAAGGATTTTTAGCCACTGAAATCCAATTATCATTTTTGCCACTAAACCCCCAAAGCAGATGGTTTTGCTAATAAATTAAATGTTTGTTCTACAAAACAAAGCTTCTTGTTTAAAAAGGTGAATTTGTTTGTAATACCGAACATTCACTGATTGTGCTCATCTACTGTGTGAGCTGTAGACTGGAAATTATTTTAGTGGTTTAAAAAAAAAAAAGAAAAAAAAATGTTCTTGATGGTTAAAATGTTGAGAAAAGCTGCCCTACAGATCAGTTTTCTGACCCCCCTTCAGGGCAGTTTGTTAGACCCCCCCCACGCTCCCCAGGGCTGCTTGTCAGATCCCCTCCTACAACAGGGCTTCTCAAAAAGGGTTCCATGGAAGTCTGGTGTTGCGGCAGGGCAGGGAGAAGATGAGTTGTGTCTGACTTAACATCCCAACTATCACCTTTCCACCCAATGTTAAGCCTGGAGGAATTGCAGGATGAAGAGCGAGACCAATGAATCCCTCAGTGAAAGTGCAAAGCTGTTTTTTTTTCAGCTTTGGGGTGGCTGTTGTGCACGATGGTGAAGTGGGTAATGAGGTGGTCTGTGCTCAATATCCTGTCTGTACTCTGAATATTCCAGGATTCCTGGATTGTGAAACTTCCACAGGGTAGCTTTCACTACCCATCCTCCATAGAGCAGCCTTTGGACCCTCATCCCCCACAGGGCAGCTTTTGGACCCCCTACAGATATTACATTAATGCTACCAAAATAAGTGTGCGGTGTAAATTGCCTTTAGCATCACTCCTGTTTCTCCTTGCTGGAGGTGGCCATTTTGCCGAAGCCCAGAGCTCCATGAGCAGCAGTAAATCTTTAGGATGTCAGCACATTGGCCTTTACATATTCAGCACAGTGCCTGAAAACAGCGAGCAACTGAGCATGTGTAGTGCAAGGTCACAATACAGAGGGTCATCCTTCCCAATGGAGACATGGCGAGCAATCAAAGTACATCCACACTTCATCCAAAGAAAAATGTTAATTGTTAAATGTTGTTAATGAATGCCGGCGATTTCCAGTAACTGTCTTCTAATTCTGATCCAATTTCTGTCTCCATCTAGGTCTCGTCAAGCAGCTCCCTGACTACGACTGTATCCGCGGTGCTGTGTGCTGCCTCCGTTTCTGATCTCCATCCAGTTCAGGGGGCACATTTTTTGGAATAAACCAGATCTGGCCTCTGAGAATGAACTAGAGAAATGCTGGTGATTTACTTTCAGAAAACATTGAATGTCGGGGGGGGGGGGGGGGCTCCCCTTTCAGCAGATGTAAAATACAGCCAGGAACATCCATTTGTGTATTGGACGTGTAAACAGCTTGTGACATCACTGAATACAATGTCATTTTAAAGGAAGTATTTTGACTTTTTTTTTGGGGGGGGGGGGGGGGGTGTATGTTACTGTTAACCACTTGTCCTGCAGAGGATTTCCCCCCCCGCCTGACTAGGCCATTTTTTGTGATACAGCACTGCACTACTTTTAAGAGACAATTGCTCGGTCATGCAACACTGTACACAAATGAAATTTGTGTCTCCCCCCCCCCCCCCCACACACAAACAGAGCTTTCTTTCGGTGGTATGTGATCACCTCTGCGATTTTATTTATTTATTTACTTTGTGCGCTATCACCAAAGACTGACAATTTTGAAAAATAAAATATTTTTGGCTTTTTACTATAAAACATATCCAATAAAGCTGTAAAAAATTAATTTTTTTCATGAATTTAGGCCAAAATGTATTCTGCTCCGTGTCTTTGCTAAAAAAAAAAATCCCAATGCCTGTGAATTAATTGGTTTACGTGAAAGTTATAGCGTCTACAAATGGCGGGATAGATACTGGAATTTTCTTTAACTATTTCAATACCGGGCAATTTTCCCCCTTCCTGCCCAGGCCAGTTTTCACGTTTCAGCGCTCTCACACTTTGAATGACAATTGCGCGGTCATACAACATTGTACTCAAACTAAAATTTTATTATTTTCTTCACACAAACTAGAGCTTTCTTTTGGTGGTATTTAATCACCGCTGGGGTTTTTATTTTTTGCTAAATTAACAAAAAAAGACCAAAAATTTTGAAAAAAAACACGTTTTTCTTTGTTTTTGTTATAAAAGTTTACAAATAAATATTTGTTCTTCATAAATTTAGGCCGAGATGTATTCTGCTACATGTCTTTGGTGAAAATAACCCAAATTAGGATGTATTATTTAGTTTGTAGGAAAGTTATAGAGTTCACAAACTATGGTATAGATCTGAATATTGATCAGTCCTGAAGTACTGACAGCCAATCTAATTTCTTGAGGTCCAAGAATGTCAGAACAGTACAGATATCCCCCAAATGTCAGAACAGTACAGATATCCCCCAAATGTCAGGACAGTACAGATATCCCCCAAATGTCAGGACAGTACAGATATCCCCCAAATGTCAGGACAGTACAGATATCCCCCAAATGTCAGACAGTACAGATATCCCCCAAATGACCCCTTTTTGCAGAGTAGACAGTCCGACGTACTTCATAAGAGGAATGGCGAGTTTTTTGAAGTTGTATTTTTTTTTCGGAAAATGAAAAAAAAAAATAATAATTTTCACTATTTTTTTTTTTTTTTTTTTTTTACATACTGTCACCAGTGCAGTACAGTGTCATCATATAACTGGCATGGTGGTGAACAGGGACACTGACTGGTGACAGTATGGAAAAAAATATATATTTCTTTTTTTGTATTTTTAAATTTTTATTACATTGTTTTTAATTTTTTTTTTTTAGATTTTTTTTTTCATATTTTACTATGACCAAAGTAGTACAATGTTACCATAGTAACATTGTACTACTTTGGGGAAGTGATCAGTATTTTTTTTTTTTTTTTTATACACAATTTGCTTATAGCAAAGAATTACTTTGCTATAAGCAAGCATTTACCTGAATAACATCGATTCATTCAGGGTTTTTTTTTTTTTTTTTTTTTTTTTGTGCTTAGCTGTGATTTGGCCACAGCTAATCACGTGACATGTGCATGTGACCTGCTGTGACCATTCACAGCTAGGCACTAGTATACAATGGATGGCATGAATGAAGCCATCCATTATATACAACTGTCATGTGACCTGCTGTGATTGGTCACAGCAGGTCACATGGTACCGGCAACGGGGGCCGGTACTCAGATCTGTCATCGGCCGTGTCCGAGGTACACGGCTGGTGACAGATCGCGCCGCTGCACGGCTCTGCAACCGCGCAAACTGCGCATGGCGTGCACCCGGAAAGCTAAAGCGTTTTTGAGGCCGCCAAACGGCTATAGGCCGGGCGGCTAATGGTTAAAAAAAAAAAATATTTTAATACTAGTAATGGTGGCGATCAGCAACTTATTGTTGGACTGCGGCGGGCATTCTGACACTGGGAGGGAGCTAACGGACACTGACCTCCCAGTGACACCAATACAATGATCAGTGCCCGCTGTGTCCGGAACACTGATCGCTGTACGAGACCTCTGTGTGAGGTCCCAAATTCATGTGATCAGTGATTGGCCAATCGGTGATCACATGAACAGTAGTAAACAAGATGTCACTTCCTGACATCATTGCTTACTACTAGTGAAATCTATGAATGATCACAGAGATCACATGGTACAGGGCTATTCACAACAGCCTTGTACCATCTGACAAGCTGTGACTAATCGCAGGTCGCACAGTATTTCTCAATGGCTGCAAGAATGCAGCCAGAGAGGAGAAATGATTGCTTTTACAGCATTTATGGGTGTAAAAGCAATCAGTGTAAAAAAAAAAAAAAATCTTCACCCCCCCACAAGTAGTACAGTGTCATAATAATATAAAAAAAATGTAAACTAAAAAAGTTGAACTAATTTGGGTTATTTTTTAACTAAAAAGATAGCTGAATACATTTTGGCCAAGATTTATGAAGACAAGATTATTTGCAAAATTTTATGAGAAACTTTTTTTTTCCAAACTTTTGGGGCTTTTTCATTTATTTAGCAAAAAAATAAAAATCCCGTCGTGAATAAATGCCACCAAAATAAAGTTTTATCTGTCTCAAAAAAAAAATCGCTAAAAAATTCATATGGGTACAGTGTTGCATGACCGTGCAATTGTCATTCAAAGTGTGATAGTGCTGAGAGCTGAAAATTGGCCTGGACAGGAAGGGGGTGAAAGTGTCCGGACATGAAGATGTTAACTCCGCATGGTTTTTGCTGTGGCTGTGCAGCAATGCATTGCGACCATGATGTGATAAAACCCCATTTGCTGCCTTTGCAGCTTGGTGAGTGGCAGTTGGGGGTGCTAAAAACAAGGCTCAATGACTCATTTTTACAACCTCCAAATACAAGTCTAAATGAGCTCTAAGTGACTTTAAACATGCTTGGGATAACTTTAGATCAGTGGTCTCCAAATTGCGGCCCAGGGGCTGAATGTGGCCCTTTGCTTGCCTTTATCTGGCCCTTGGGGCACTATTCCACCAACTGACAGCAATGATGGGGCACCATTCCCCTACTGAGACCATCTATGGGGCACTATTTCTCCCATTTAAACCAGTGATGGGGCACTGACACTAGGGCATTCTCTACTCTCACTGGCCACAGTCTGCCCCCCCCCCCAACCCTCAGTTCACACTATTGAAGGTTGCGCAGCCTGTGTTTGCTCGGTCACAGCAGCCCATTCATTTAAATAGGCTGCTGTGCCTGCGTCTCCGCACAAAAATGCAGCCTCATAGAAACGGCGTGGTCTTTTTGAGCATTCGGTTTCCCACACTCGTGGTACGAGCTGGGATGTGTGGGGGCGCCATTTAGAATGAATGGCAGCCCCGCACGTCTCAGGGGAGCTCGATTTTGGCTGCGGGTAGTTTTGGGTGCAGGAACCAGAACTATTTTGTGTCCTAGGCTAGAAGAGCTACTTGTGCCCACCCAGTAAATGTTAAAAAAAAAGTACAAAATATTAAATCAATCAAATATGAAACTATTACATTTCTTTCACTTTACAAAAAGAAGTACCATAAGATGCCACCAGCACCAATATTAAGGACAAGATCAGTGTCACGAATGGACTGTATCTGTGGCTGGCAGTGGCAGGGTGACAGTTGGAATGAGTGGAGGATGATGGATACACACTCTGACAGGTCCCAGGCTAGAATTCCCCAGGCAATGGGGGGAGGTAAAATGCAGTGACAGCAGGCAGCTGAACTGAGCGATCCCACACAGTGGCAGATCTGACACAACACACCAACACTGACACAGATCAGAAGAGCAAGCTGTGGGATTGTGATGACATCATCACTCACTGACACATATATGTGGATGGCTGGCTGGGTCACACTCACACAGACACGAGACATCAGAGTCAGACATTACCTTCCTCTGCAGGCACAGCTCCGCCTTCACTAATGAATGGGAAGAGAAGGGCTGGAACTCCAGTGTACTGCAGACACCAGCTGGCTTTCAGTAAGGGACCGAGTCTGAGAGGAACACTGGAAGCAGCAGCTGCTACAGTGGCAGCATCCCACGCAGTTCCAGCCTGTGTTGCGCCCAAGCGCCCCTAGGCGGCTGCTTAGTTTCCCTAGTGGAAGCTCCGGCCCTGGCGTGAACAGATGCGATTCCCATACCCGCAACCAACCCGCATAGTGTGAACTGAGGGTGAGGCCTAAAGGACCGTAAACTGACCCATTGCTTAGAAAGTTTGGAGACACCTGCTTTAGATTTAAGGTTAGATAAAGCCCTTTTTTTCCTGCTTTTACTCTTTTTTTCCCAAAAAAATTGCTTTGTCGCACTGAGAAAGTGGCGGATTTGTTAGATGATAGGGGAAGACAGGCAGGAGGACAGAGAAACGGGAACAGAGGGGCAGGAGGACAGAGAAACGGGAGCAGAGGGGCAAATGAGGACAGAATAACTTGTTCGGAATCGGTGACAGTTGGGAGGTATGAAGCATACGTGGTGCGTTTGCCGCGACTGCAGTGCGACTCAGGATTATGGGCTGAGGGTGATGATTTCTGCCCGCGCTTAAAAATTGTGAATGGGTTTTGTTCATTTTTATGTGTAAACCCAAAACAATTCATCTTCTCCCGATGGAAGGTCGGACACCCCCGGATGCAGGCAGCTGGAATTCAAATGCAGCCAAAAAACGCATCCCTACCCTTGTAGCGGCAAGATCTGTCTCCATGATGATCTGTCCCCC